AACTTTAGTATATATTTTCAAAATACACGAAAAATCCACAAGATTTTTTTTTTTGGATCCTCACAATGTGAAATTTATTCATATTATTCTTCATAACATTAGAATATGTGGGAATCATAATTTCGTAGCCTTTACTTTATTATAATCCATTGTTGCCTCGTCGCCCATCGAAATATAGTCCCATAATATTCAAACTTCAATTTTAGAACTCTAAATATAGAATAAATTAACTATGAGTATATTTAACCATCTAATTAACACATTCTTGGACAGATCCATCAGGTAAATTAATCTCAGTTGTGAATATATTGAACAATCCAATTAAGAATCCATCATAATTAGCGTTATGACATTTCCACGTCAATTATTTAGCCTTAAACTGATGTATCCTCCATGATAGATCTAATTAGTTTCTTTCTCATGGCCATATGAAGAAAAAAATAATCCTACTGATTTAAAGAAATTAAGAAATTTGGTCAAAATAGTTATTTATATTATTTATATAATATATGTGGTAATTTTCTTAAAATATTTATTAAAATAAGAGAAAATGACACAAAAATACTTGTTGAATTTTAAAAAGATAAATGTGTTATGGTACTATTTTAATAATGATTTTGACAAGTCAAAATCTGTCAAAATCACCTCTTTGTCTTTTGATATGCAATAAATATTTTTCTTTCATTTTCTCTTATTTTAATCATTTGCATTGGAAAATGTCCCCTTGATTGAAAAAAAAAAAAATCCTCTTCATACATATAATCAATAGAATAGAGATCAAAAAAATGATTATAAGTTCAGACGATTTTTTTTTAAAATCAGAATTCAGAAGATGATTGAAGTGTTAAAAGGAGGACAATACTACTAGAAATAATAGCGTTTGCTAAATTTCCATCCAACCAAGAGAATCCAAATCCCAACCTTTAAAACATTTATTTAAAATTATTATATATGAACAAGTGGCAGAGTGGCTCTTTCTCTACATTTTTGTATGGGCGTGCCAATTGTGTCCCCGCCGGCTGCAACTGTGTTTAACTTTATCTTAAAAAAACAAATACATTTGTTCCGCTTGAACCTACCAGAGATTAATGTCTGATTTTTTTTCTCAAGCGTTATCGAGTTTTTTTTTTCCTTGTGAAAAGATGTTGGGCCCATCTTTAAAGATATAGTTTAGTGTTCATTTGTTTTTTTTCGTGTAAACAAATTTAGGTGAGTGGGGTCCAGGATTTATTATGATCAAAGCATATTTCAAATTCAGAAAGTACTTATAAAAATACTTAGAAATCATCTACTAACAAGATTCTCATAATAGCAACAAGATTTGAATTCACTATATCATGAGTTATGAGCAAACTCCTTACTAACTGGATTAACACTTGTCAGCATTTAGTCTTCATTTCTAAATATGAACCATGCATCAACAACGAAATTAAACGGTAAATACTTTGTTATATTTTATTTTTAATTTTGTTTATTTTAACAAATGTAAATAAAAGGTGAAATTAAAAACAACTTTTAACATCTATTTTCTTAAATTAATTTTTTAAAATGAATTTCAAAATATAAACCACTCAAATTAAATCTAAACGGTTTATATCTCATCTCAAGGAATTTTTTTCTTTTTTGCTAAATCATCTAAAGGAACGAGCAGCTTATTTTTTGTTATTATTTACCCAAGCTTATTCTTGTTACGAATATATCATGTTTGGTGAAAAGTCCTATTCTATATTAATTAAAACAGCAAAATAAAAAATTGATTTGAACATAACCACTTATTAATTTTTATTATTAATAACTCTGTTGATTTTTTTCGATCAAACCTTGAAAACAGATTAAATAAAGAACAATGAACATTGATAAATATCAAAGCCTACTTAATTTCCTAATATTTTGGACAGATGGATACATCCATGTACCATTGATTCAGCATATCATTGTCAGAAGTAATTAAAAAAATGTCAAAAAAATTTTTTTTTTTATGGTTAGGAAAAGAAAAGGTCATAAATATCACACGGTCATGACTAGATGCTTACTCATTCCACAGCTTGCGCCACCAAACACATCTCCAGGTTTGATCCACGCAAGACTGACTCATCCTCATCTTTTTTTCCTACACGTTTTGCATGCCCACCCCTCACGAACCTTTTATTTAGTTTTTAACCCCACATTCTCCAAGCCCATTCTGGCTATCCTATTTACACGTGCGTTTCACGTCCAATGGATTATTACAATACACGAAAGTACAACTGTACAAGTTTTTTAAGGATCTCTCTGGTGTAAAAATTAAAATATATATAATACAAAAATTAAAATTAAAAAAATGTAATATTTATTACATTTATCATTATTAATGGATACTAATTGTCTCCTTGGTACAGTATAACGACAATTTTTGCCCGTGTACAAGACTTGTATTTTAGCTTTTCTAAAGATCAAACTTAACCTAGTTGCTGTTAGTATTTCCTTTTTTTTTAATTTTTACTCCGGACAAAAATGTTATTTGTCTATATAATTACTTCATTTTTTATACCATTTAATGAATTTATACTTCATTTCCTCTTTCCATTTTATCCCTCAAACAAGGCTTTTTAATTTTTTTTCCAAGTACCAAACACCGAAGCAGCAATGAAATTAAAAGTCTAATTTAAACTTTTCTAATTATAAAATACTAACAACTAATTAAATTTGATAAATTTCAGTTAAGGAGATGATTGGAGATAAGCGATGCAGACCTTTTCTTGTCCACGTCAGCGATACCCAACCGTTGGGGGATATTTTGAAATGATTCAATGAGAGCTAGCTGGAATTGTAAGACTAATTGGATATAGTACCGGTTTTAGCATTAAGATTTAAAGAATTGCAAAAAGAGTAAGATCATGATTATCTGTATTTTTCAGATGAGGACTCCAAGCTTCCTAATTCTCAGGCAAGGACTTTTCTTCAATTTCGGTATAAAATACCACCATTGTCAACTACTGAATCCACACACAACCTTTTTCAAAAGTCTTTCCTCCCTTCATTCTTCATTTCTTTCATTCTTTTTCTTCATTTTCTCGGCTTCTTCTTTCACAACAATGACTATTCTCATTGAGCAGCCTGATCTTGGTTTGATCCTTTTCATCCTTCATTCTTTGCTTTCTTCTTCTTCTTCTTTGTCGTCATTGTTGTTGTCATGTTTGTTCTCTCTGAACTAAGCTTTTCTTTCTTCTGTGTTTCCAATTCAGGTTCAAACTTTGGAGAAAAGAGTTTATTTCATGCTGAGAACAACAATGAACTTGTTTTGGATGGTGGATTCCCACTTTCAAAATCTGCATCACAGAATGGATTTATAGCCCCAGAAATCAACTCATTTGGCCACTCTTTCAGGTCTCATTTTGTTTTCATTAGTTTCTGATCAGCAGAGAAAGAAAATCTGTTTAGTTTGAATCTCACAATGCCATTTTCTGTTTATGCAGAGATTATGATGCAGAAAGTGAGAGGCAAAAAGGCGTTGAGGAGTTTTACAGGCTTCAGCACATCCACCAGACATATGACTTTGTAAGCCCATAAAATAATAATAAAAACAATGTTTAATGCAAATATGGTCCTCATCAATACGATGAGTATTGAGACGGGTCCCCTTAGAGGGCCCACATAGTTTTAACTGCAGTTAAGCATGGTAGTGAAATGTTGAATGTTGTTGCAGGTGAAGAAAATGAGAGAAGAGTATGGAAAATTGAACAAAGGAGAGATGGGGATATGGGAATGTTGTGAGTTGTTAAATGAAGTTGTGGATGAAAGCGATCCTGATTTGGATGAACCTCAAATTGAGCATTTGTTGCAATCTGCTGAGGCAATAAGAAAAGATTATCCTGATGAAGATTGGTTGCACTTGACCGCTCTTATTCATGGTATATTATTTTATGTAATATTTATATCTTTCATTTTATTATCTAGATTTTATGGATCAAACTCAAAACTTTTGGGCAAAATCGTCCATATATCTACTTTTTACATGCCACCAATTGGGCCCCCATCTTTTAAATATCAAAAGTTGGAAACTTTGAAGGAAAATGAACTGGTTGAAGAATATTCTTTTGTTCTTTCTTACAGATCTTGGAAAGATCCTTCTCCTTTCTCAATTTGGTGGTCTCCTCAATGGGCTGTTGTTGGTAAGAACTGGTCCATTATTTGCATACCACCTACGTATTCTTTTTGTATGTCACTGAGAGAATTCAACACTGAAATGGATGCTTCTTGAAATTTTTGTAGGAGATACGTTCCCTCTGGCTGTGCTTTTGATGAAGCAAATGTGCACCATAAGGTGTGTATTCCTTCTGACAACTCAGAGGTAAATGTTACTTCTTTGTGAATTTTGAGATTCATCCAACACAAGTTGTTTTGCTTGTTGCAGTATTTCAAGGACAACCCAGATTACAACAATCCTTCTTACAACACCAAAATGGCGTCTATTCCAAAGGTTGTGGACTTGATAACGTGGTCATGTCATGGGGACATGATGATTATATGTACTTGGTGAGTTATCTTCAACATCATACCCTGAACCAGACTAGTTTCATGGAGCCAGTCTTCTTCATTTTATGTCATGTTAATGACGAAGATCTAATCAATGGTTCACTGGAATCTGCAGGTTGCTAAGGAAAACGGCACCACTTTGCCTCCAGCAGCTTTGTTCGTTATCAGATATCACTCTTTCTATCGTAAGAATCTCCAGCAGCTTTGTCAATATTCTCTATTCTGCTAGCAAATGTGATGACATTAACACAATAAATTTTGCAGCTTTGCATGAGGAAGGTGCATATACCCACTTGATGAACGAAGAAGATGTTGAGAATCTGAAGTGGGTCAAAATATTCAAGTATGCTTCTCCCATAATCTCAATACAGATTCTTAATTAGTTGTAATTGGTTAGTAATCTTACAAATTAAACTGACTCTGTTCATTATACAGCAATATGATCTGTACAGTAAGAGCAAGTTCGTGTAGATGTGGAAAAAGTGAAGCCATACTATCAATCTCTCATTAAAAAAGTGAGAACTTTATTAACTTTTACTTCTTCAACCATTTGGAATTTTGTCTGCTATTTTCCCTTTGTGAGTATGTATTTATTTTCTGCGTATGGGTGTGCAGTATTTCCCAGAGAAACTGAGATGGTGAAACTTGAAGATGTTGAAGAAGAAGCTTAGATGGAGGAACTTCTGAAGATGTTGGAGATGAAGCAGCTAAGGGCGTGGTCGGGGGATCGGATAGTCAATTACTTGATGATATGAGATCTCAGAGTTGCCGTCCCTTTTTGTTCTTTCCTTTCTTTTTGGGCGTATGTGCCTTTTTATAATTTGATAGAATAAATAAATTATTTTCTGGTCATGTCCATCTAAATAAAGGCATATATATTATATATTAGCTTGTCGGTCCTTGTAGAGTGTATATCTTAATGAAATATATCCTTTTTCTTATTAAAGTCCAAATATATTTATAAAATATTAGTGAATATGCATGTCGGGTGCAAAAATATCGGTCAAAATTCTAGAAGGATGCAAAAATGTCACAGTGCTTATTTAAGAAAACATTTGTTACTTTCTCATGGTGGGCCTCACATCTGTTTACATTTTGATAATTAACGAGAATTTGCTAAAATTAACCGATGTCACGTTTTTGCTTCTTTTTTATTTTATTTTTTGTGAGTATCTTTGAATCCAAGTAAATAATCGCAAATATAAGACTATAATTCACTTTGTCTCTCATATTTATCTTTTTTTTAAATAATCTTTCTAATAATAGTAGTTCTAACTAATAAACTTGATTAGAAATAGTATTTTAAGAAAGACATATATTTAATATAAATAACTAACTCGATAACTTCGATTTTTTTTTTAATTTACTCAAATTAGTCAACTAACTCTTATATTTAAGATAGAAGGTATTACAGAATTTGTGTTTTTAAGAATGGGATCTCACTTGTTAATTGCACTGCAAAATTTGAAAAAAAAAATTTCACGTTTATTATTAGCAATATACGGCCAAAGAGTGAGAGGGATAGCACCAACTGAATATGTAATTTTTCATTATTAGGGCTATTTTCTCAGTAAATCGGGTGCCGACAGAATGAATAATTGATCACGTGTTTCACTACGAATTGGATCCCCTCCTGGGGGCAACATGGACTAGTGAAGGGCCTGGGAACGGCGTTCATCAACATCGGACGGTTATGATGAACACACTTCCGAAGCACTTTGCCTTGCACGCCGGAGGCGAACCTGATCTCAGTGATCTGTTTGCCGAAGGGGCGTTTTGCGCATTAAATATTTGGGTAAAGTATATATTTAATACTTTAATTTTATATAAAATTTTAATTTGATCTCTTAATTTTAAGAAGTATATTTTTAGTCTTTTGATCCTAAAATTTTTTTTAAAAATGATAACATTAAGATCTTAAATGTTGATTAAACATTCTCAAATACTAACATATTAAGTTTAATTTTTAAAAAATACATGATTGTTACAAAAAATCATCATTGAAACTTAATAATTTTAAAATTAAAGGACTAAATGTATGCTTTTTAAAGTTAAAGGACCAAATTGAAATCATGTACAAAACCAAAAGATCAAATGGATACGTTAGCATAAATATTTTCAAAGAGAATTGTAATGAGATCTAGGAAATGGATATAATTGTTTTTAAAAAAAAATTTCCAATCACAAGGAAGCAGTTAAAACTTATTATTATTTTTCATACTAGGAGTTGTCTATAAAAACTGCTCAGCTGTTAAGAAATTTTTTAATTATTAATTTTCTTATTTGGATCCTTATAGTAATTTTTCCTTATTTTTATAAAAATGCATGAGGATTAGATTTGATAAAATGAAATAAAAGGATTTGATATGATATAAAGAATAAATGTTTATAAGAAAAAATAGTTATGTAATTCTTAATAATTTTGCCCCTCAGATTTAACTCATCGTGAGTTAATTTCTCAACTTTTGTTGGTTTAGTAACTCTGTCCCCATTGTTATTGAATCAAATTTGATTGTGGTTATGTGTCACAAATGGTGTTATCTCTGTTAATATTGCTTGCACGGTGTTAAGATATTTTTCAGTCAACAAGTATTTCTAATACTCCTCCGGTCATTATTATAAGACCCAATTTGACTTTTTATTTGGTCCTAATTATAAGACCCCAATCTATTTTATCTCTTATATTTATGCATTTTTTTCCAAGATAATCCTTCTAATAATGATAGTTTTAGCCAATATACTTAATTAGCAAGGATATTTTAGGAATGACAACACTTATTTATTATAAATAACCAACTTAACTTACTTCCTTAATCTCCTCAAATAAGTCAATTGGGTCTTATAATTAGGACCGGAGGAGTATAATACTACCTCCAGTCCTTAATATAAGACCCTATTTGACTTTTATTTTGGTCCTAAATATAAGACCCCAATCCACTTTGTCTCTCATATTTATTCAATTTTTTTCAAGATAGTCCTTCTAAAAATTATAGTTCTAGTTAATACACTTGATTAGCAAGGATATTTTAGGAAAGACAACACATATTTAAAACAAATAACTAACTCAACTTACTTCCTTAATCTCCTCAAATTAGTCAACTGACTCTTATAATTAGGACCGGAGGTAGTATTTTAAAACACATACAAAAACATGTTTTTATTTTAAAAAAAAAAGTCCAAATCGAACCTATAAGTTAAATATCACGGTTTGGTCTCGTCGGTTAAAATACCAACTTCGGCTCGGTTCGAATTTTAAATAATGTTTGGTTATTTCAGTTTCTCCATGAAGTGCCTAAATTAATGCGTTGTTTGTTTCTGCTTTTGGTTTTTTTGTTTTCAGAATAGTTTTCTAAAATTATTTTTTGAAATAATTTGTACAAAAGAGAAAACAAAAAATATATGTGCATAATTTTTCTAAAATTATTATATTTGAAAACAAAAGAAGATAAAAAATTTGTTTGGAACATTTGTTGTCAAAATCAATTTAGAGGATTGTTAAGAAGGTGAAAGGCAGAGTGCAGAGTACAACAACACCATAGTTTGGAAGGAATATTAGATAGAGTCGTTAAACTTTGCCACTTAATGTTTTCTAAAGATTCATTAAGCACCATCTTATAGAGCCCCTGACAATTAGTTTTAAGGCAAATCTTAAAGTTGTTGAAATTATTATCGAATAAAATTGCTTCCTTAAGGATATATTTGGTATAAGGGATTTGGAACGGAAAGGAGGGAGGGAAAAGGATTTTAATTATTTCTCCTTATTTGGCAACACACAAATTTTAAGAAGGGAGGAAAAATTTTAAAAATTGTTCCTCCCCTCCCCTCCTCAACCTCCCCTACAAAATTAGAAGGATTTGGAGGAAAAAGACGATATCTTGTCATATTGTGACTATTATGCTCATATTTTATCATATTGTGACTATTATGTCCATATCTTAAATAAAATAAGGGTAAAATTATCCATGTTAAAATATTTTTCCCTCTCTTTCCCTCATGAACCAAACAAAGTAATATTAAAATCCTTCTACTCTCTTTCTCTCCGCTCCATTAAAACCCTTCCCTTCTCCTTCCTCTCATTGAGCCAAACAGACCCTAAACACAATACATTCAGCTTCAAAAGGAGTATAAGCACTAACCCTCTTGCATTATACTCTGCGTATAACACCAATTCTAGCATAACCAGAATGCTTCAAAAGGAGTATTCGCATTGTTTTTGAGTATTCTATTTTTAAAAGCATATTTCGTATTTCTCATACTCTTCCAGTCCTTAATATAGGACTCAATTCTTAAGTTGATTTTAATCCTCAATGTAAGAATCATTTTTTATATTTATTAATTTTCTCTAAATTACCCCTATAGATACTCTCTCAACTATAGTCAAGTAGAAGAGAGATGGGGTATTAAAAAGATGATTATAGTATTTTAAGAAAAATGTGTCATTTTTCTTATAATTAACTAACATGCATAAATTTTTTAATCTAATCAAATTAGTTAAATGGGTCTTATATTAAGGACAGGAGGAGTAAAACACTTAATTAAAAATTAACAATTAAACAAGTTTTTATTTTTTTTTAAAACAAAAATTTGTTTCCAGAACAAGGAAACACACATATCCTAAACTGCTACGTTTTTCAGTTTGAGAAGCTGTTACAATCCTTAATATAAGAGTTAAATAAATAATTTGTGAATATTAAAAAAAATAGTTGAGTTCATTATTTATAATAAATGGATGCTATCATTCTTAAAACACCATTATTAATCATGTGCTAAATTACACCTTAATGAAACTCCTTAACATATATAGTCACCATAAGAATATTAAGAGGTAAAATGAATAAATATTAAAAACAAAATGAATTAAAATTTTATATTTAGAATTAAATTTAATCACTCACCTGGAAAAGAAAACAAGAATACAGATGCCTTAGGCTGGTTTGGGCCTGGACTTCAAGGGTGGGCTGCATGTATGGGATCAGGTTCTTAGGAGGCTGGACATGGTCTTTCTTGCCGATTCTTAGGACTAGCGTCCGGTTTAGTTTATTTTTGGGCCAGTTACCCAAAATGCCACTTCCTATTAAAGATCAGAATATCAAGAATTAAAATAACCCTACTTATAGTTTAAGAATAATTATCTCGTTTTCAATAACGGATATTGTGTCGTTTGCTTTTTTTCAAAAAGGGAATTTTTTAAAAAATACTCCCTTTCCTAATTCCTAAAAACCTTTTCATTATACCAAACGGGACTTTAGTGCACATTCCACCAGCTTACTTTGCGTTTTAAATTATTTATGATTAAAAATGATTGAAATCTAATGTGTCCATGCAAAATAAGCAAGCACACACACAGGAGCTACTAAAATATAAAATATAAGAGCTAGTAAACAAATTTGCTTTAATTTGGTAGCCATTTGTGTTGCTACTAAAGCTTCATTGTGGGGGTCTTAACCTCTTCTTATGGGTGCTGTGACCTTCGTTGCATCTGCAGAGATTTCATGCTCTCAGGCTCAAGTTTATCCCCTTGCCTTGTTTCTTGTAGTTACTTTCTTTCTTTTTTTTTAATGGAAACTTTCTATGTTGTTTTGTTTTGTTTCTGTCTGTTCCTTTTTAGATCGTTGTTTTTAGGCTAAAGACTGTGTATTTGGAGTTCTATGATTAGTGCATTTCTTGTCGGCCAAGAACATAAAAGTAAAGGAATTTGCTTTAACCTGAGCTCAGGTTTGGTATAACTACTACTACTTCCGGTTCTAATTATAAGAGTCAATTAACTAATTTGAAGAGATTAAAAAAATAAGTTGAGTGAATTATTTGTCCTAAATAGGTATTGTCTTTCTTAAAATATTCTTGCTAATCAAGTGTATTGACTATAACTATCATTGTTAGAAGGGCTGCTTTAAAAAAAATGTATAAATATGAGAAACAAAGTGAATTGGAGTCTTATATTTA